CTTAAATGTAAGATATAAAACATTTAGAAAACAATAATTGGAGAAAATCTTCAGGATCTAGGGACAGGCAATAAGCTCTTGGACTTCACCCCAAAAGCACGAGCTACAAAAGAAAAACCGTGATATATTGGCCTTCATCAAAATTAAAAGCTTTTGCTCTGTGAAAAACTTAAGACGAGGAAAAGACAAGGTATTGAGAGAAATTGTTTGCAAACCAGATATCTGACCAATCTAGAAAATGTAAAAAATGCTCAAAATTCTAAAGGAAAAAAAAATCAGAAAATAGACAAAAGACATGAAGACATTTCACTGAAAAGGATATATGAATGGCAAGTAAGCTCATGAAAAGGTGTTGAATATCATTAGTCATCAGGGAAATAAAAATTAAAATCACAATGCAATACCACTGCACACCTATCAGAATTGTTAAAGAAAAAAATAGTGATAATAACAAATGCTGCTGAGAATACGGATGAACGGGATCTCTCAAACATTGCTGATGGGAATGTAAAATCGGACAGCCACTCTGGAAAAGAGTTTGGACATTTCTTATAAGGTTAAACATATACTTACCATATGATCCAGTAGTTATGCTCCTTCACATTTATCCCAAGAGAAATGAAAACCTATATCTGCACAAAAATCGGTACATGAATGTTCATAACAGCTTTATTTGTAATAGCCAAAAACTGGAAACAACCCAATACCCTTCAACAAGAGAATGGTTGAACTGTGTTACATCCATATCATGGAACACGACTCTACAATGAAAAATAATGAATTATTGATACACTCAACGACTTGGATAGATCTCAAAGGAATTACGCTAAGTGAAGAAAACCCAACCTCAAAAGGTTATATACTGTATGACTCCACTTATATAATATTCTTGAAATAACCAAATTATAGAAATGAAGAATAGATAAGTGGTTGCCAGAGACGGGGACTGGAGGGGGCACGGGGTATGTGCAACCGTAAAAGGATAATACAAGCGAATTCCTTTGTGGTGACGGAACACTTCTGTATCATGATTGCGGTGGTGATTACACAAATCTATACCTGTGCTAAAATTGCAAACAACACACACAAATGAGTGCGTGTAAAATCTGATGAAACTGAATAAATCTGTAGTCTAGGTAACAATACCGAATCATTGCCAGTTGCTTGGTTTTGAAATTGTACTGTAATTATGCAAGATCTTCCTATTGAGAAAATTAGGTGAAAAGTACATGACACTCTTTGTACTATTTTTGCAACTTCCTGTAAGTCTATACCGATTGCAAAATAAAAAGTTATAAGTATTAATTAAGCAAAAAAATATATATATACATTGGAACTACCCTGGAAAACCCAAGATATACAGATAGCTGCCCTCCCTTAAAGAAGCCCTGGTGGCATAATAGTTAAGTGCTTGCCTGCTAACCGAAAAGTTGGTGGTTGGAACCCACCTGCTGCTCTGGGGAGAAAAGACCTTGTGCTCCCCTGTAAGGCACACAACAAGCACTCCCTTAAATACTTAGGTAAAAGAGAGCTGTGGTATCTTCCTTTCTCTAAGAACATTTAATAAACAAATAAATCTTGATACAAACAGAGGTGTGAGTGAGTACAGTGTGTTGGGGAGAGGGGTCTAGATAGAAGTGGAGTGACCTGGCTTCTGCTTGGTCTGCCTTCCAACAGATTAATGGTACCCAACAATGCAGCAACCCATTGACCTGCCATCGTTCACATTATCCACACGAAATGGTAATTAACAGGGATGCAAGGGTCTGGTGGAGAAGGAACCTGCCTAACCTGGAAGACATTTTGAAGAGGTGAGCCACCAGAGATCATCCATTTCTCAAGGATATTCTTTTTTTTTTTTTTTATGCTTTATGCCAATGCTTTATTCATAAAACTTCATAAATATTTTCAATTGAAAACAATTTTTCTGGGGAATTTAAAAAGAGAGGAGATTTGAAATATTCACAGTTGTTATATTTATCAAAAGTCAATCTTTTTAAATTTATATATTGATGAGTTTCTTCAATGAAATTCTATTTATTTTTTTTTCTTTTTTAAATTGTACTTTAGGTGAAGGTTTACAGAACAAATAGTTTCTCATTAAACAGTCAGTACACATATTCTTTTATGACATTATTTGGTTAACAACCCCACCACATGTCAACCCTCTCCCTTCTCGAACTATTTTTTTTTTGGTGAAAATATACATAGCCAAAGATACACCATTTCAAAAATTTCTACATGCACAATTCAGTGACATCAATTATGTTCTTCCAGTTGTGCTGCTATTCTCACTTTAGATGAAGGTTTACGGAACAAAATAGTTTCTCATTAAACAGTTAGTACACATGTTGCCCT